TGTCAGAAAGAACCCGATACAGGTATTGCGACTATACCATGCAAAATTAAGCGTTTAAAAATCCCAGCAATGATACTCGATAGTGAGGCTGAAAGAGAGATCGTAACAAAAGATATTGTTAAGCATATAAATGGAAAAATTGATAGATCTGTGAAGTATGACCTTAGTGGTATTGCTACTATTCCAATTGAGTCTATTGGTATCGTTCGTAATTTACCAATAACACTAACTTCCGATTGTACTATATATGAGAATTTTGTAGTCATAAAACATTCTAAGCCAATGTTAATATTTTCAAACTGACTTCTCAAGAAATATGAATATGTTATTGATTGGAATAATGATAAAATGAAGATTCATCACAATGAAAAGGATCACATTTTCCCTGTAACTATGTATAAGGTAAAGAATAAGCTCGAAGTAAATTATGCTACTGCGACTCAAGATGGCTTACATAACGAGGATACTATTATATCTAAGTTTTTGGTATCTGATTAAATTTCACAGGAAGTAGACAGTAATAAAGATGACAGTATACTATTGGAGAAATGGTATGCTTCTGTGGGTTTTAGCTCAGATTCTGTTAATTCATCATTAAAAAAACGCATGAGCTATGAGAAGTTAGAAAAATTGCTATATACTATCTTCGCATCTAAAGCTGAAATAAATAATCTTTGTGAAAAGTTGCAAATACGTTATAAAAAACTACTTGAACATATCTCCTTTAGAGATGATAGCATAAATAAAAAAAAAATAGACTAAGTAGTAGCTAATAGACGAATCATATTTGCTTTATTTTTCTCATCTCTTCTGGCTTCTTTTTCATATAATGCATCCAGATCTTCACTACTTATTTTTTCTATAGAGTTATTAGTAGGTGTTGAATCAGATATGTGAGAGTGGAGCTCATTATTATATAATACAGAATTAGTCCGAGATTTGGATCTTCTCTTTTTTGTTTCTGTATTGAGAGTGGTAGATTCCAGTTGTAGGTTTAGAGAATTATGATTCAAAGAATTATCTAAGGACTTGCTCTGCAATAAAACCTCACTTTCAATTCATAATTGAGAATTTATTTGTTGTTGGTGTTCTCGATTTTCTATATAATCAACAACACGAGAGTGAGATATGTGATATTTTTTTGCCATTGTATTTATTGCATCAGGTATTATACCTATTGATTCTTTAATTTCTTGAATCACCTCATCCGAAAGAAATGTTGCATTAGCACTATAATATTTTTTATGGATATGTTCCATATCAACCACGTAAATGTTCTGCTTTGCAGAAATATTTTTATTATTACATATAAAGAAAAGTTTTAAAAAGTTTTAAAATATTAGTTATACATATAGTAGTTGATATATAATGAAAAATATACAAATATTCCAGAATATCTTAGAATGTTTCGAAATATTTTATTATATTTAAAAATATACAGATATATAAAAAAGGATAAATGTTAATGTTACACCCTGTTATATAAATTATTTGTTACAGGTTATATATAGATATAAAATTTAAAGATCACGTGTATGTAAACGCATATTTGTAATAACGTGATAGCACTCTTTTCTTCAAGTAACTTCTAACGGAACTTACCTTGTATCTTTTTCTAACTGATTTCGTGACGCGACAACATTCTTAACTGTTTTGCACTTTTATAAACTAATAAATTTGATATTGAGCAGGTAGAAGCAACGTTTAAATATGGTTTCTCAACTGACTAATGCTGAGGCCAGTACCTTTTACATGGCTAATTCTGAAACTGATATCTCATATGCGGTTAATGCAGAAGCCAGTACTCTTATACGGTTATGATTAATCAAGTGGCAAATCTTGAAACTAGCACTTCTTATGCGTTTACTGCTGAAGCCAGTACCTCTGTTGCAGTAAATTCCGAATTCAGTACCTTCTACGTGGTTAATGTTCAACCTAATAGCTCATATACGATTGACACTGAGACTAACGCCATCTGCGAAAATGCGGTTT